GGACATTACTACCTCTGTAAATGAAATTACACAAGCTGCGAAGTGCTTGAAAAATGGAAAGGCTGCTGGAATTGATGAAATCCGCCCTGAGATGCTCAAGGCATTAGGCGAACAAGACATGTGCTGCCTTAAACGTGTCTGTCCAACTGCGATGACTGCGGGAAAGACACCATCGGAGTGGAGAACGGGAGTTATTGTACCCGTATTCAAGAAGACCATAAGGAATGCTCCAATTATAGGGGTAATACGTTATTGAACCTCCCAGGTAAAGTCTAAGCACAGGTGCTAAAAAGGAGGTGGGGCGAAATAGCTGGACTCAAGATACAAGAAGAGCAGTGTGGCTTCCGGCCTGGTCGAAGCACCTCTGACCAAACATTTGCCCTGCGCCAGATGGTTGAGAAATCGTGGGAGTACGCCCGTCGGGTGTGCATGTGTTTTGTGGACCTACAAAAAGCCTATGACCGGATCCCACGCAACAGTCTGTGGTCATGCCTTCGAGCATACGGGATAGATGGCCATCTAATCACTGTATTCTAATAGCAGGTGCTGCGTCAGAGTAAATGACGTTAAGCCGTTCAACATTCAACGTTCACACTGCTCTCTGCCAAGGCTGCGTCTTGTCCCCTATTCTGTTTGTGTTGTGCATGGATAGAATAGTCAGGCGCTGCCAAGGCGATGAGTGCATCGGTGAAAGAGATGTGAAGACGAGAAGGTTGCTGTTTGCAGACGACCTTGTTTTATTAGCATCCTCTAAGACTGATCTATAGTGCTCACTAGAAAGTTTCGCAGCCGAGTGGATCATGACCGGCATGCGTGTGAACACTTCTAAAACGAAAAGCCTAGTGGTTTCTCATTCTCCTGTCCATTGCTCTCTTCAGATTAACGGAGAGGCAGTAGAGCAGGTGGAGAAGTTCAAGTACCTCGATATTGCATTAACTAATGATGGAAAATTGGAGGAAGATACCGACGAGCGAATTGGAGTAGCCATGACGTTCTGCTTGAACTAGCCTGATCCGTTGTGACTAAAGCAGAGCTCAGTCTGTAATCTAAGCTTCAAGTCGATCTTAATCCCCATGCTTACTTGCGGTCATGAATCGTGAGCCATCACTGAAAAACTTCGAACCTGGGTACAGGGTTTTCTTAGGCTGGCTTTAAGCGTCTCGACATGGTCCGGAATACTGACATCCGGAAGAGCCTCGTTATACAGTCTTTGCTTCTCCAGACTGAGAAGTCACAGCTGCGATGGTGTGGCCATGTATTGCGAATGCCTCCAGAAATGAAGGCTAAGCAGCTGTTTCTTGCAAATGCGACCGGTAGAAGGTGCAGGGAACGGCCAAAATTAAGCTGGTGCAAATATGTGGAAGGGATCTGTTCCAGACTCCAGTTGTCTCTGCCGAAGCTCAGACTATGGCACAAAATCAGGAATAGGAAGCTCTGTCTCACTCGTTTGCCTCGGCGACCTGAAAGAAGCGGCGATAGAAGATGAAGATCTTAAACTGTCGGTGATCATGCTGGTGTTGCATGCAGCCGAAACGCTTTATGCAATAAAGGACCTCTTAAGCTACTCATTAAATATATGTTGATCTGAGCCAAGAATGAGAAATGATGCGTAAGAAATAGCCATCGTAGCCTGATAACCACCAAGAAATAAACTTTAAACAACGCAACTACTCTTCCAAGGCCAGACTTTACGGCGTATTGAATTGCCCCTTGCTTTTAGTTTCCAGGGATTGGGACACACTTTACGCACGGCTAAACGATTACTGAGCACCTGCACTGCCAAATGCATCTCGCAGAACTTTTCTCGCCGAAACTATCGCGCGCCCATAACTATGACTACAAATTGGCCCATATTGAAACTACAGGATATACGCCCATTTTCAGAATCTGACTAGTTGAAAAAGTGGGATGACAAACGAAAGCGGGTATTTCCCATTTCATAACCGCCTATAAACTTTTCATATGCGTTTGACTGCTTAGTGCAAAAGTAGCTATGGCGTGCAAAGCATATTGCTGTGGCAAGAAAATGTCTGCCAACAAAGATATGCCACTAATGAAACTTGACTGATGCAACGCGTAAACTTCGAGTACGATATGAACTAAAGAATGGTTGTCATTTGGTTGTAAACCTTCTCGTTAACAAATAATATCGAAATGGCTAATCACTTACTGCCGCCCAAACGACTATCGACGAATTTGTGCTTCTCGGTGTGCAGCAAGTCGTTCACTTCCTTTGGAAATCCAAAACTCTCAGGCGGAATCAAATCGATGCATTTCATAAGCGTTCTGTCGACGGTGCGAATTTCGTCCACTTCTGCCATGGCTACAAAGCGTGGCCATCAGGCGACAACACAGTTCATCGTTAAAACGGTAAATTCAGTCAGTGCATCAACGTCGAGTATATCATGTGAAATTCTATGCTTCGCAATTCAAGGACTGAGGCTTACTGCACTAAACCTTCACAGAAGAATGATGCAGCATCGTTCACTGATGCGGTTCATTACCAACAAGCAGCACATCTACCGTGACACATGCAACTGGTGTGTGTTCGATGAAAGTAGGCTTATACAAACCACAAACCAAGAAAATGTGACAAGTAGTTTCTGTGAAAAATTCAGCTAAACTCCCACCGTACCAGGAATAATCTGTGGACCACCGGAGCTAGCTGGGTAAAGTCACGGAGTTATTCTTCCTCCATTATTTTTAAATTCACCATCTGCATAGATTATAGCATTATTAAAAATCTGTCAGATGTGACTTTCTTAGCAAAGTGAAATGATAGACGACTAAGTATTGTGTAGCTCAAGTATATTTAGCAAATCACATTCGTACGTACTGGATTCTAAATTTTTTTTCATACCCTCTCATAGAGAGGATATTTCTTAACAGTGACGGTGGCTAACCGTAGCTAACTAGATATGACCTGCTAAATGTTATATTCCTAACCCTTCGCACTATTCTGGATGTCCAGAACGACGGTTTTTATGCGATTTTTCAGTATCCTTTCTGTGAGCTTCAGGTAATCCAAACTGAATCACACTGACTTCGGAATCGGGACATTTGCAATGACGACAGCTGATGTTGTTCGCAGTCTTGAACGAAAATACCTGCCTCAAGTCGATGGCCAGGTTTTGACACTGTATCTTCTCCACCCGTCATCTTAGGCTCAGATTATGGCTCGGGAACGTTGGAAGCAGTCTGACACGTCTGGCTCCGCGACCAGAAAAGAAAAGCGGTCAAGGAAGATGATTATGTTTTCTTCGTTTTCGTTCAGTGGAACAGCAACAATAATAATTTCAGCTTCGCCGTTCTTGCGATCCAGGACTAATATGCCGGGACGACTGTGATCCACGATATGACTGGTGACGAATTAAATGGCATATTGGACATTTTCAAGCACGCCCTCTGGACGAAATCGATAACACTGTTTCTCTGATGAAGCCTCTTTCAAGCACCAATTGTTGACGTGATCTTTGCTACGCTACTGTCCCACTTGAGTTACTCCGTATCAGCCACAACGGAACAACCCGAACAATATGGAGGATCAATCCACTGCACCACCACAGCACATTGTGTACTATCCGAGATATTTTCCTTCATGATAAATTTCCCGTAGTTCTTCGTGAGCACTACTTGATCTTACACTGCCACTGCAATTCCTTGCCATTCAATTCCTCCCTCTCAAAGCCAAGCAAGCGACTCGTAAAGGTCGATTCCATCAGACTTAAGAGTGGCTTAATAACGCCAATGCAAAGCTTTCTTACTCCATTCGTCAAGTCTGGCAATTAAACCCCTTCTCTGCAAGACAATCGCTTTCACACATCTGGAAAAGCTGTGCTTTCAGTATGTGTTAAATGCCCGTTGAATGTCTTTATCCCTTTCTTTTACACTTGCCTAAAGTCGATTCTGAGAAGTACCAGCTATTTTATAACACGCACCCGGCCTTAGTTTCCGCATTTCTGTCGCTTCCTCGAGACTCGGGCTTTCTGATTGAAACTGCTTTGCACCTTCAGTTTCCACAACTGCGTTTTAATTTAAACCGACGTACTGGATTATCATATTTCACACCATCATCAGCCTTTGTCGATCCACTGCTGGATGAGTCAGGCTTCGTCACTGACTCCTGTTTTCTTCTATCATTACCCACCTCGATTCAACGAACTTCTTCAACTCATTCTGACATCGATCTGGAGGTTCTCCCTCAAGTCTTTTACTCTCTCTTTGAAGTCTAATGACTCTTTGGTCCAGCGATTGTCGGTTCTTCTAGCAACGTGACACTACCACTTTAACTTCTTCACACGTGCAATGATATCGTAGACGTACATGTGTTCCTATCAGTTCATTCGACTCCTTACTTTTATTTGTTAGCCCCGACATGCATCTTTCCATGCTGCGATGCGCAATCTGCAATTTATGAATAGCATCAGGTTGAGGGTGCACATATCGCATCCATGGATTAGCACTGGGTGCACACACTGATCAGATACTTTAACCTTCTAACATAGTTTAGAATAAACCTTTTGGACAAGAAAATTCTCAATCTTCCCAAAGTGCTCAATACCATTTATTTTAATATTCTGTTGATTTCACATCATCGAAATTCTCCGATTTGAAGATAAGCTGTCCCGGATAGACATATTTTTGCTAAACACTGCTGCATCATCAGCAAGAAGAGCGTGTCAGCGGAGCCCATAGATAAAGGGGTAATGAAGATTAGCAACCCAAAGGATAGAAACTGTTTTCCTTTTGAAGATTATTTCGTTGCTGCACTGGTGGTCATACCGAAAAACAGCATAAAACACGGTTTAATATTACACAACGCAAACGTATTATTAGTCGGATGGATCAAAATGACACGTGGCCATTTGGCCGTAATCGCATGGCATGACAAAAATGAGGCAGAGTTCGGAAAAAGTTTACTGATTTACAATGTCGCGAAAAGCGATCTCAAATAAAACTGTATTTACACGATGGACAAAAAACGCAACAAACAACTGTGCTTATTCTACCACGATATCATTGTCCATCAGTTTGCTATGAGTCATTTCCACACGGTACTTGAAGTTGTTCCAAATGTCTTCGGCCAAATCTTTGGCAGTGGTGTAGCGCACTTTTTCAAAGTTAAATATGTCCAACAGAAAATTGTACACTTGACTCTAAAAACAAAACTTCTGCAATAACATGGACGAAATGTAATGCTCATCAATACATTGAAAACAGTCAATACAGTATAGTGCCACTTCACTAAGGGTGACAAAGATGCCCATCCAACCTTTCTCAAAAAATAGGTTGATGATATATTTGCCCTCTGTAAAAATGAAACTGAAGCGCCGTTTCTGAAACATCTGAACAGCCTATTCCCAAGCCTCATCGTTTTCACTATGGAGAAAGAAGAAACCGACACCCTACGCTTCTTGAATGTGCAAGTAAGACACCACTAGCAGGTATATTTGACCACAGTGTTTCGCAAGAAGACGCATACTGATAAGTATCTACATCACTTTTATTATCATCCAGAATGCGAAAAGGTGTCGTGAATACACTTCTCCAAAGAGGCCGGAAGATATGCATAACAGATGATGATTTTCGAGAAGAATTAAATCACATCAGATCGACGCTAAAATGAACGACTATCCGATGAAGACATTTAACGAAGGCTTGGCAAGTTTATCACAACAAAGGGTGTGTCTCGCCGCTCACCTGATAACAACAATTACATTTCCTTGCCATACGTTCGCCAACTGAGTAAAAAGCTGCGACGCATTGGATCTGCATCCGGATTCAACCTGGTATTCAAACCTGGGCTACTCTATGTAGTCGACTAAGCCAGCTCAAGACCCAGAAACCTAAGGAGGTAAGCCGGTTGGGTGGACCAACCACCGTGCTCCTGTGATGCGGTTTACACAGCGAAACGGGTAAGACGGTTGAAGAAAGGAAGACAGATTGTATGAGGAACCTCATCAGGTGGAAGAACGTTGATGCTGGAAAAGATGGTTAACAGCAAGTCGGCCGAGGTCAGAGACAGACGAAAAACCCTAGACTTATCAAGGCAGAATGCGAGAAAAATTCTGCCATTGTGAAACATGCTGTCAACCAGACCCGCATTAAAATATTACGTGCCTTTGTTAATGTACTGTGAAGACGTACCGACCATGGTCCGAAACGTATGTATATAGAACCAGTAGTTTAAATGTCAGAAGTGACGTCGTGTACACCATCAGTTCTTAACCAAGAGAGGGAATACTTCTGCAAGAGAAAAAATGGTCCATTGAAAATTTACTCTTTATAAGCCTTCACTGGGGAGCACAGTACAATGAGAAAGCCACAAAAAAACAGTGGCTGAATAGTAAATGAGCCAGGGGTTGCAATTCTCGCAACTTTGTGCGCGTGTCACACCCACATCAGTCAATCTATGTGAACCGGGATCTTCAACTTCGCCGGCCATTAAGACCAAGTACAAGAACTCTTAGGAAGTACTATATGATATGCCCGTTACCACATAGAAGACAGTTCCCTGATCCAATCTCTCATCCATGTGGGACTGCT